GAGTTCATGAGTTATTTAGAAGCTTTATTCTAAATTGGAATTTACTTGATCCAGCAGGTACAGTGCTCAATAGTAAGTACCCTATATCCAACCTCACTAAGTGACTTGCACCATTTTTAAAGGTCTGCATTAGCCAGCTTGTACAATTAAAGGTGTTGATTTTGCTCTGTAAGGTCCTGAGTGGTTTGAGTCTTGGTTACTTCAAAAGAACTTTCCCTACTAGTTGCTATGGCAGCAAAGCCAGCTTAGATGATCTTCTTTATTTCTGATATCTAAATGTTTTCAGATGGGACATTCTAGGTGGGAAGTTCTCAGTGCCAAAACTAACTTCCTTATGGTTTATAGGCATATGGCCCCACCTGGAATGCTAGACTGCTCTGGTCACTCCATTCCAAAAGATGCATCCTGTTTAGAAAAGGTTGCAAGGTGAGCAATAAAATAATTTAGAGGGATGGAGAAACTGAAAATATTGATAGTTAAATCTCAGAAATTAGACTGTGTGAGGTCATATGCTAGAGGTATAGATAGGGAAATGAGCTGCATTTATATACCTTTTCTCATAATCCTAGGAAATGTTTACATTTGATGAAAATGAAAGGTGTGATGCAAGCTAAAAGGAAGTGGGTCTTTCATAACATCTCTTTCATCCACTATCTTACAGCAGTAAGTTTCCACAGGGAATCTAAGAGCCTAGAAAAACCAAAAGGATCAGATGCTTTTACAGATAATGGGAACTTCAGCACTGCCAAACAAAGTCATAAATCCTAATGCTTCATACAATAATCAGTAATTGGAGGGGCTTAGATCCTGCCAGTAGGTGGAGTTTGTTCCACAGCTGTCTGTAGGAGACTCTTGAACTTTCTTCATAACTACTGGTGCTGGTTTCTGTAAAACAGGATGCTCTAGCAAGGGTCTGGACACCTATGGCACTTTTTACGCTTAGGGCATAGCATATGGTATCTATTTGTTTACTTGGGCAATAACTTAAAAAAATCAGTAACTAGCCTGTACACAAGTGCAGAGGCTGCTCTGACACTGTAATTAGTGTGTTGGAGCAGGCTCATTTAACCAATAATTACAGGTAATCACCAATGATTACCAACAATCTTCAATTGCCAATTAATTACTGGCAATCATTAGTAATTAATTGGTAACTGCCACGCTCCAGCCAGCTTCTGTGTCTCCTGTATCAGCATCCCCCCACTTCAAAATAGCAGCTGTGGCACTTGAACTAAAACTTGTTGAATGACCTTTACACTGAGGCACTTTAATTACACAGAGGAGCTTTACTTACACGGAGGAACTTTCCACGAGACACGGAGGAGCTTTGCACGAGCTTTACACACTTTAATTACACAGAAGAGCTTTACCTGAGACAGAGAGGCGCTTTAATTAGAGCAGCTGTTGGAGCCATTCTGAAGTGTTACGCTGGTCCCCCACCCCCTGAAAACATATAGAAGTGTCCTAGATGCCTAACTCCATAGTGAAGCATCTACTTGGCTTTTGAAAGTGCTTTGACTTTCTTTTCATGGGTGTATTTTACATATCTTGTGTTGCAAGCTTCCAGTGCATGGGAAACTGGATCTGAAGCTGTAGGTCTAACCCAATACAACTAATTAATATAAATATAGGAAGAGTCTATTTAAAATTCATTAGTGTTGTATTTTCTGTGCACTCTTATGGTGTTATAACAAGGTTCAGATTAGGTGGAAACAATAGTCTAGACTTTTCTAGCCTCTTTAACCATCTTACCTGATCCCTTAGTCATTCCTTAAGAGCTGTATACAATAGTTGTTCTTTGCTACTTTTTTAAAAGAACAAGCACCATTCATTTTTCTTAGGTGCTCCACATTGGCAGACAAAACTAGAAGCTGCACAAAATGTCCTGTTATGCAAAGAAATCTTTGCCCAGCTGTCAAGAGAAGCAGTTCAAATTAAGTCACAAATTCCTCACATTGTTGTGAAGAACCAGATCATCTCTCAGCCTTTTCCAGGTAGGAAACTTTTGGGATACTCTTGTTCTATAAATGGGGAATCCAGACTGAAACACTGATTAAATATGAAGGTTTTCTTGGTAAATAAGTTTACATCTTTCTTGTACTGAATAGATGCATGATGTTCCCTGAATTCTGCAGTTAATTCCAACTAAATAAGAAGATCCAAGAAACAACTATAAAAAATCCCCGCATGACCACACTTCAGCCGGTGCACTTACACCACTGGTGGCATTGTTTTTAAACACAATTCTCTGTCCATCAAAAATCATGATAGCCAAAAGCACCACCTCATGGTGGTCATACTTTGAGGTTGTGTGTCAGTCGATGCTGTATAGGAGAAAGATTTAATCTGTTAATGGACCTTGAAGAGAGGTAAATTGGTTGCCATTGATCTTGGAAGGTCAGCAGTATGGGGAACCTGAAAGCATCACTAGTTGTTTAGAGAATTCTCCATTTCTGAACCTGACTACACCTGCTCAAGGCTATTTTTCTGCATTCATTCAAAAACGTACTGAAACGATGTTGTATGTAAGTTATTCTTTCCCTGCAATGTTATAAAGAGTTTCCTTTTTTTCTATTTGCTTGACTCCATAAAGATGGAAAACACCTCCATCTCTGACTTCTGTTGACCTAGCAGCCAAGGTCAAACTAGCTACAGGTTCTTTGATTAATTATATATTAAATTAAAATGTGGCAGTTTTTTATGAGATGTTATTTGCTTTTCAACTGCAGTCTGACCTGATTGTTTTATCTTCTCTGAAATTTTAAATATTGCTTTGAAAGCTAACACTACGGTAAGAAGAGGAGGAAAGGAGAAAAGAATAAAAAAAGATACTCTGGCCATAAGTTAGTCTACATGAAAATATTGACCATTATTTTCTTCATTTTTTGTGCAGGATTGCAGTTGTCTGTATCCTTGTGTCACTCTTCTAATGATAAGAAATCTCAAAAGTCTGCCTCTGACAGACAAAGTCCAGAAGATCATCTCTATGTCCTGGAACACAACTTGCATCAGCTGATCAGAGAGGTAACACATTTTAATTGAACACTGACATTGTTTTTCCTTCAGGAGTCTGGTTTGGAGTCTTGAATACAATGTCATGACACTATTGCACTATTAGAGGTCAGTCAGTTCCTCCCTATGTAAAGCAGTCCTCTTACATGTCTAAAGAAGTGTCTCCAATGTATAAATGGAGCAAGGCTGATAGTAGGAGCTCCCCTTGTACGTATGTGAAATATTATTCCCTTGTTTTAGCCTCTTGATTACAAGAAGATGGTTCTGAGTCATTCCTGCATTAAGACTCCTCGCCATTCTCTTGCTCCAGAAATTGATTGTCAGGCTCTTTAAAGCAGATATCAGTGCAGGCATTGACAAAAGAAAAGCGCTACCTGTGCTGCTTCTGGAGCCTGATGATAGAATTTTATTTAATAGAAGGCGTTAAGTAATGACTGAGCCTGTGACCCTTTGTGTTCGCTTGGGTGGTAGAGGAGAGGGTCAGGGCACAAAGGAATGCACAGCCTCAAACACACCATATCCAGAAAGTTCTGAGCTTTCTTGCCAAAAGTAGCATCTTCTACATCACAGCTCTGTTCCCACCTGTAAATTTCTTCTAATCTGTCCTCATTGTTTCTCTTAAGTGAGAGCCCTTCTGGACAGGCTTGTTGCTCTTGGTGGAACTTGTACTGCAGCAGAGCTCAGTAACCTTGCAGCTGCTACACGGATGAGAAAATACACTGGCAAATAGGCCTTTTATTAAAGGGGGCTAAGTAAGCCAGGCTCTGTGCTGCCTGTGAGCTGTGAAACCATAAAAATTGGCTGACGTTCACATTTTCCTAATTTATAGGAATAATTTTCTCTCATTAAAGCACCCACTCAAAGGAAAAAACATGGAAAGGACCTCAAGGCACTGTCCATTGCACAACCTAAAAGTAGAAGCACAGAGACTACTTTGTGTTCTGTTGGCTACCCCAGGTGTTGCAGTTGCATGCCATTTTTTGTGGAAGTGTACTTTTGTTTCAAGTAATTCTTTTGAGAGGTGAAGCAGCGTGTGTTAGCAAACTGCATGCCATTACTGGGGTGTGCGTTCCTCTCATTTCTAATTGGTTTTGTCTGTTACAGTTTCACAAGCAAACTTTGAGCTCCACGGTGATGCCACACCCAGCTAGTGCACCATTTGGCCATAAGAGAATGAAGCTGGCAGGACCTCAGGCATTTGACAAAAATGATATCAACTCCTTGCAGTCAAACGAAGGACTTCTGGAAAAGATTATTAAGCAGGCAAAACATATCTTTCTGAGGCGCAGGTATGTGCACAGGCCGCTCTGGTTAAAGCCAAGGTAAAGCCAAACTACTAGCATCTTCCACCCCAAGCTGGTGATTAACTTTTAAAGTGTTTCTAAACCTTATTTTTCATTGCTGAATGCTTTTGTAAGACTTCATTGTTAGGTATTGAGAATAAGTAGTTTATTATCTTCAAGTCTGTATAAAAACTTCTATGGAATATGAGCACAAGAGTGTTCAACACTTGCTTCTCTTTTTATGCGATGCTTATATTGCAGCCTACCAACAGATTTATGTACCGCTTTGGGGAAAAAGATGACTTTCTTGGGGGTGGGGGGTGTTCTCTGTATACAGCTGAACAACAAATATCTGATTTGAACATAAATGTTATCTTCCACAGCCAACTAGATCAAACAGAGGCTTGCTTACTTCCCCTCTGCCCTTGGAGAAAAGACAATCATGCATATTGTCTATTGAGGGTGGTATGTCTTTGTTTTGTTTTAGAACTGCTCGAACCATTGATAGCCTTGCTAGTCGCATTGAAGATCCACAGATTCAGGCCCACTGGTCCAACATAAATGATGTTTATGAATCCAGTGTTAAGGTTTTAATAACTTCTCAAGGTTATGAGCAGATATGCAAGTAAGTATGAAAGCTCTGCAGATGTGGATTATTAATTTGTTAAGAATGAGAAAATGTTTTGCTTTTCCTAGATCGTGATACTTGTGACTTTAAAGAAGCACCATTAATCTCTGTTCAAATTTGTTTTAGGAAGGAACCCCCCCCAAGTTACCTCCCTCCTATATCTAAAAGTTACATTTAATATAGGAATTTAATAAATAGATAACTACATTTTCTTCAAATAAGTGACCATAATAGAGTCTCTTTCTCTTCCCTTCCCCTCCCCCCCAGAAGGAGTCAAATCTTGAACCTGATTACCTGAGTTCAGCTTTCTTCATCATGAAAATCAGAGCTCCCCCTGCCCCCTTAGCTCACCAGAACAAGGACCCAGCAGCAACTGTCCCCCCTGCACTACTTTGTGGTGCTGAGCAACCCTGATATGCTGCTGTCTTGTCCA